CCATACTCTTCTTATTCATGATTCGATTCCTCCTTCCTATTGGGTAGATTCTCTAGAAACGACAACCTATATTCTTAACATCGTGCCTACCAAAGCTCTTGCCAATGGGACTCTCGCTTATGCTTTGTTTCGTATCCGTCCCATGATCATTTACGAGTCTTTGGTTGTCTTTGTTTTCTTAACATATCGGCTACGACCCCTCACGAGTTGGCCCCTAGATCCACTCCATGTGTTTTCTTAGGATATCCAACCAACCATAGAGGTTATAAATGCCTTGACCTTTCCATGCATAAGATCATTAGCACACCCCACTTCTCCCTTACGCACAAATCAACCCAACTCCACTAACCTTCCTATTGGGCCCGCCTCACCAAATTAGTCTACTTCCTCCAATTATTTAAGTTCACCAATCCAACCCATTACTCTAACTACTTGAAATTCCTCAAATATGCCCCCCCATTAAGGGGAATCATGCCCACTCGGCCCACTCACCCCCCACCACCTTCCCCTCGTGTGACTCGTAGTCAATACAAAATTTTTAAACCAAACCCCAAACATTACCAAGCTAATATTACTATCCCTTCACATAAATCATCGCTCCCTAAAACATATAAAAATGCTCTCAATGACCCTAACTGGAATGCGGCGATGCAAGATGAATTTGATGCTCTTATTAAAACAAGACTTGGGATTTGGTACCTAGGCCTATGGGGGTGAACATTGTTAATTGTATGTGGTTATTTAAGCACAAATACAAGTCTAATGGTGACCTTGAAATGCATAAAGCTCGTCTTGTTGTGATGGCAGGTCGCAAGAAGTTGGTATAGATTGTGACGAGACTTTCAGTCCGGCAGTTGAACTGGCCACTATTCGTACTATTCTCATCTTAGCTTTGGCTAAAAAGTGGTCGATTCATCAATTAGATGTCAAAAATGCCTTTTTACATGGTGATTTGCAGGAAACAATATATATGCATCAACCTCCGGGTTTTGTTGATCGAAGAGCACACCCTCCTATGTATGTCGACTTCGTAAGGCTCTATATGGGTTGAAGCAAGCTCCTCGAGCTTGTTACCAACGCTTTGCGAACTTTTTGGTCATATTGGGTTTTGTCGCTGCTAAAAGTGACCTCTCTTTTACTTTTCGACATGGTGATGATATGACATATTTGCTTCTTTATGTTGATGATATTATACTAGCTACCTCTTCTGACAGGTTGCGTGAGGGAATAATATCTCAGTTGCAGATTGAGTTTCCTATGTCTGATTTGGGCCCTCTAAGTTATTTTTTAGGGATTGCGGTGATTCGTACTCCCTCTTATTGGCTACTTTCACAGGAAAAGTATGCACAGGAGATTTTAAAGCGTGCATGTATGGGCTCTTGTAAACTTGCAGCTACTCCAGTTAACACTAAGTCTAAACTTAGTGTAGATGTAGGACCACCTTTTTGGGACCCCACTTTGTATCGCAGTTGTTTAGCAGGTGCTCTTTAGTATCTCACTTTCACCAGGCCAGATATTACCTATGCGGTACAACAGGTGTGTCTTTTTATGCATGATCCCCGGGAATCTCATTATGATGCTTTGAAACGCATTCTACGTTATATACACGGTACCATTAATCATGTATTACATCTATATCCATCTGCTTCTCATCGATTGATTACTTACACTAACGCTGACTGGGGAGGTTGTTCTGATACCCGTCGTTCCACATCGGGTTATTGCTGCTTTCTTGGGGACAACCTCGTTTCTTGGTCATCTAAGCGTCAACATACTTTATCTAAATCGAGTGAAGAAGTAGAATATCGAGGCGTCACAAATGTTGTATCTAGGCATGTTGGCTTTGTAATCTTTTACTCGAGTTACATTGTCCTCTTCGATGGGCTACTATTATTGTTTATTGTGATAATGTCAGTGCTATCTACCTTTCTGGCAACCTGGTACAACACCAACGCACCAAGCATGTGGAGAAGGATATTCATTTTGTTCGAGAAAAGGTTTCTTTGGGACAAGTTCAGAATCTACATGTTCCTTCTAGATATCAGTTTGCGGACATTTTCAAAAAAGGCCTACCACGAGACTTATTTTTGGATTTTAGATCCAGTCTTAGCGTACGACCTCCTCCCGCTATATATGACTGCGGAGGTGTGATAGATATTATAGTTATGATAATATTTGTCGCAGACTAGGATATGTTTTGTATATATTCTTTATCCTTATCGTACTAGGATTACGAATCTTGTAAAACTCTATATATATTGATCAATGGTACACACTCCAATTTGAGGAGTTTTCCCGAAATCTAACACTTTAGATAAAGTTGGGTGGATTCGAAAATTTCTAGAAGATATTCCTAATTGGCCAAAACCTGGATTGTCGAGTAGATATAGGAAGGGCAAGGAATGTCATGTATAACAGAAAGCCTAGACATATACGTCTTAGACATGATTCCATTAGACAACTACTCTCTTGCAGCATTATCATAATGGACTTTGTAAGGTCAAAAAGATAACATTATTGTGGATCCGTTAACAAAAGGCTTAGTGATGGATAAGTCATCAAAGGAAATGGGGTTAAGACCTATCTATTTAAGTTATTGTAGCAGCTACCTGGCCAACCTTGTTGAGTGAAGATTCCTAAGATCTAGGTTCAAAGGGACAACCAAGTTATGATAATATTAAAAGCACAATAGAGTACAAAATTCTAACCCATTCCTAAGAGTTATACGGTGCTCATATGGGAAAAGGTTAAATTTAAGCATAATTTATTCATATATTTATCTTAGATTTTTAATGATTTCTATTGAGATGTTTAGAATTCGCCTATGTGAGTGTGAGGACGGGCCACCTCTATGCGAATGTTCGGGTTGAATACCCTAAGGCACTTGCAGAACCAGAAGTGTCCTTGGCCAAAACGGACATGAACATGAGATCAAACTATTTTAAGGAAATATTTGTGTTTTTTTTATTGTTTAAGCTTAGATTTAAAAGGTTGTTAATAAAGTTGGAAAATACTACTGATTGACTGAGTAAGCTCGATAGACTCACTAGAGTTAGTTCAAATAAAGTCTTTGACTAATAATCCTAATTAGCTTATTTTTCATTCAGTAAAATAGCGTATCATAATGTTTACATGACGAGTCTTTCTCATTATTGTGGGGATAGTTGCCAACTAGATTTTAGCTTTTTTTTATTTTTATTTTTTTAAATGAGAAATTCTTCATTAATATGGGGGATTGTTGAATATTTATTCTTAAATAATATTTGTATTAATAAAGAATGTATCTTTCAGATAAAAACATATAATTTATATTTGGATTATTATAACTTTTCATTAGTTATTTTGAATGGTTGTGTTATTTCTCTATACTTGCAACTTTTCATGTAGTGTTTCATTTTCTATATATAGTTGTTGTACTGTTCTTTTTTTTTTTGGGGGGTGTTCATTTCGAAATAGTCTCTCTTAAATACATACATATAGTAGTAACTACTCTAATCTAGTTTATTTGCCGTTTCCTTATAATTAGAATACCACTTTATAAAAAACAAAATTCGTTTTATATATCCTCTCAACAACCTTTGGTATCATAGAGGGAGTAAATTCAATTTTCTTAAGGACACAATGTGATAATTTGTAGGGCTCGAGTCATATACAATTACATTTCAAATCATTTATAAGATATGTGTTATTTTTTTTTCATATATAAGATATATAATATTTTACTTTTTATACTCTTTTTTATGATTACAAATTGTAGCAACTAGACCTGTCAGTTTCTAACCCAAATCGTTAAATCCGACTGTTTCGAACCAATCCGAAAAGAAACCGAATCGTTAAAAACCTATTTTATTAAAACCGAAAACCGACCCGACCCAATTTTTTCCAACCCGAAACTGAGCTGAACAGAATTTGTGCAAACCGTGAATGACCCACCCCGTTATCAAGCCAAACCATTACAACCCGAAATCAAAAACAACCCTAACTGATTACATCCAAACCCAATTGTAACCCGAACTATTTTAAACCGAAAATTGTTAAACCCGACAAAAATCCGATAAGCCTGAACCGTTCCAACCCGTAACCCGCTATGACAGAGCTGTTTATCACCCGTAACCCGTTATGACCGAATCGTTTTCAACTCGTAACTCGTTAAGACCGAATCGTTTACAACCCGTAACCCATTATGACGGAGCCGTTTACAACCCGTAACCCAATATGTTTATGATATGATCTATTTCAACCCACTACTCAATAAACCCAACTTATTTAAGACTAACTTGTTTATAACATGACCCATTCCTACCCACTATCTGATTAACCTGCCTCGATAATGAGATGGCTCGATTTTAACCCGATATGATTTGAACTGAAACAAGCTTCAAATTAGGTAAACATGTTTTTAAACCGACCCAGTTTAATCCAAACCGATTATGACTTGAACTAATAATGACTTGACCCGATTTCACCCGATCTGTTTTGAACCGAAACCCGTTTCAAACCGACCCAGTACGTATGACCCAAACTGATTATGACCCGATCCAGTTAGAACCCGACCCGATTAGGACCCGAACTATTTTGAACCAAAACCCGCTTTAAATTGGCTATACTCGTTTTCAAACAACCCGGTTTAACCCAAAATGATTATGACCCGAATCGATTACAACCTGACCTGATTAGGACCCGACCCGAATAGAAATCGCAGTAAAAAAACCAAACCGAACTAACCCGATAATTTTCAAAATTGACCCAAACCGACCCGCTAATCATTTTAACCCGTTATAACCTGAAACCGATAAACCCAACCCGAAATTGAATCGTTTACCCAAATTGACACCCTAATATGTAGCAACCTATTTTTAAGATAGCTAAGTGTCTTCTTATACGGAGTACATACTTTTTTTTTTTTTTTTTTTTTTTTTTTTTTTTTTTTTTTTTTTTTTTTTAGGGGAATACGGAGTACATACATTGAAAAGGAGCATTTTGCTTATTCAAGGGGGAGGGTTTATAAAAGAGTATACCGTCTTTTAATGTACTGCATGTATCGCAAATGTCTTAATAGCTTAATTCAATTATTGCATTAAAGTATGTATAAATTTTATATGAGCTATTAACTCAACATTAACCGAGTTTCATAATAAAACATATTGTTTAAATAATAGACTAGAGATAAAGAGTTTTTTTTTTGGAATAGAAATAGAGATATTAACTTGTGTACACCTTTTTCGATGATTGAAATTACAATCATAATAGTAATAATCATACATATTTTCTCTTATATTTAACCTGTGCATCACACACGTTCAAAAGCTCGTATTAACTAAATACAAGAACTTGAACATTCTATAGCATGCTTCAAGCTTTCGGAGCATTGACCTTCCTACAATTAATTCTAACCTCTCCATCGTTGCCGGTAAGAACACCTACTTGTCCGAACTTTAGTATTGCTGAGGCATATTCCTTGAAAAAGTTATCTTGATTTGCACTATAATTAGCAACAATGGCATCAGTTGGTCCACCCTTTCCAGTGTATAGTTCTTGATCAATGTCTAGAAGACCTTTTTGTTGCATCAAGTTTTTGAAGTATGCATTGTCAAACACATATGGAGTGGTGGAGTCGATTGGTATACGATCGCTATCCTTGCCTTGCCTGGGGCAATGTGCTTGCATTGCCTTCGCGAAGTTGGGATCTATGTTTGTTTCCTCATAGATACGCTTTCGGAAGGTTGTGCACCTTGCCCTGCCAATCGTGTGAGAACCTGTACTCGAGATAAACACTAGTCAAAACGTAACAGTTTATGACTCTTTCGATATAGTTTTGTGTCAATATCTTTTAATATTTTTCATCACGTCCACATTTTCATGAAAACTTACTTTCATTGTGCTTTTTATACTTGCAACATATCTTTTAATATTTTTTATATAGTACTAAGTATTACAGGAAAGTTCGTGTAAAGTTTGGTATGACCAATGATTTAGTTTGAACAGAGTATTTAATAGAGTATAAAACATATTTTTGAGCCTCAACCATTAGCTAGCTCTAGCTAATGGTTGAGGCCCATGAATATGTTTTATGCTCTATTTTTTTAAAGCATGTTTTATACTTTATTAGATTAGACTCGTGCGTTGCACGGTTTAAATAATTTTGTTATTATGCATATGGAATAATTTTGTTATCATGCATAAAAAATTAAGTTTATCATTTGTGTAAAAATGAGTGGTAATTATTCTTTATTAAAAAATGTATAGTGTAGATTAAAATAATAATTGTTAAAAAAAAGATTAAAATAATAATAATAATTAATGACATCATCAATAGAAATGGAGGGAAACTTTTTCACGTGAGAATGACACATAGGATAATTAAAGTGATGATGATGTCAGCAATATTTTGTTTTAGTAATAGTTAATAGATTAGTATTAATTAATATAAGGAATTGCCCCCTTGGGAATAAAAGAAGGAAAAAACCTGTTAAAGCCACAAATTCTTCGGTTGAAAAGCCTTTTAGTCTGAAGGAAAAAATCAGTGTTTCTAAGTTCCCAATAAAGAGAGCACCTAAGAGGTTAGTCATAAATCTATGTGGTTCAGTCGAATCCCTCCTTCCTAATGGTACTGTCCAAGTTGGTCCACCAAGCTGGAAAATTCATTATCAATAAAAAAAAATGAATCAAATAAAGAGCAAAATTATTATACTAGTAATAACTTAATAATTAGATTTATAAATAAATTAATACTAAGTAGAAAATTATAATCAATTTTGGTGCAACTTTGGAAAGGACTTATATATTCTTATAAGGTAACCATACCCCAACAACAGAGTCTCGAGCAGCTACTGTTAAGATATCAGCACATGATACCACACCTGGACATGCTTTTTCTAATCGAGCTTTAATCTGGTCGATGGCTTCATATCCCCATGTTGAATTTTGATTAAGTGCGGCCGACTTCTCCCCAGCCTCACTTGGTGTATCATCGAGCAAAATTGATGCGTCACATCCCTAATTATTCAACAAGTATTTTACACTACAATCATTTATTTGACTAGCAACACAAAATGTAACAACAGAAAATGTAACTTCAAAATTAAAGTAGTATTTTACTATCTCCATGTTTTATAATGGTATCATTTAATTTTTGTATGTTTTCCAATGAATTTTTTGTTTAACATTATATCACTTATTATTTTGTGAAAAATTCATGATATAAGAAATTGAAATTTCACATTCTATCACATTATTCTAATTCGGGCAGAATTGACTCGAAGCCAATCATTCAACTCGAAATACCTGACCTTGATTGCATGACTCGAGCACCACCTGAAATCACTTGACCCCCATTTAATATTAACTTGACCATACTATTATTAAATTTAGAATATTGTCGACTTAACATAAAGCAACCCAACCCAAAATAAAACCTAAAATAAATGAACCTAAACATGAAAACCCGATACAAACGACAAATGCATCACCATCTCTACATTTTCCCCTCCCTAACACGTGTTTGTGGGAGGAGAATGTGGAAGGACATATAATTACATCCTAATGTATTATAGACATCATATCCTTATTGAATTTTGATAAGAATAATGAGGATATTGACATAAATCAATAAACACAAGAACTTATGCATGGAGAGATCAATTAACTCTTCCTTGTTCAACCTAGAACCACTATTAATTAAGATCCTTAAATAAACTTTAGTATATATGCACAAGCTACGTATCACGTAGGTCACCAAAACTTGAACACAACTCCAAAGATCTTAGACTTACACTAACTCCGCAATCATGGAAATGAAGGTGCACAAGAGATCCACCCATGCCAGGTTCTTTCCTTAAGATGTTTGTCATTTCATCTCTAATTATGGAGTTAACCTGTGGACATGTTTTTGCATAGTAGTCGTCAGACAATTGTGCGAATGCCGACCCGAAAAGTACAAAGATCAAGCACCTTTGAAGCAACGAGGAGGACGCCATGGAAGAATTTAAAGTAGACTAAAGGAGAAACATAAAATATAAGGATATTAATTAAAACAATATATGTTATTCAAGTTACTATCTAAAAAAAAAATGTAATATATTGCTCTATTTTTGCATCTTCTTTTATAATGTTTAAAAAATTATTTACACGTCCTAGTTTCAATGATTATGCTTGTAAAGTGCAACTCAATGCCTTTTTTTAGCATATATCCGATTAAGAAAGGTGTTGGCTTAATGAATTGCTTAGGATAATCTGGCTATTTTTTTTCTCCTTAGCAATGGCTATCATTTAAATTCAAAATTAACCATATTAAGATTATCTTTACATATTATTCTAGATATATATGATAGTTAATTAGGCCTGTTATTTCCTACTTTGTAGTAATCTGATCTCTTTCTTCCCTCATTTTAAGTACTTCTACCCTAAAAAAAGTAATCTCATTCTTAGTTTTAAGTTTTAGTTTGACGTTCACTTTTGCCAGTTTACAAGAATTATAACATTTGACAAGTTAGTAATCATACTTCGTCAACTTTTACATAATGTGGAAAGATATGATCAACTTAATTAAAACACGAATATAGTATTAAAATCAATATATATTCTAATGGGAGGCCAATTAGATGGTTGGAACCCACTTTGTCTTTAAATTATTTATTTAACCATTAAAAACTTACGCTATTTCATTAAATCAAGGCTTCCATGAGCTTTTATGTGACCGATTAATAGTCATAAATGGTTCCAAACAACATTAATTGAATTACCCTAGAGGTTTTGACATCACGTTTAGAAACCTATAAATTTATCTAATCTTGCATATCATTGAATTTTGACCATTTTTCCAATGTTTTAGACTCGAAAAGTAAATAGGTTGTGGTACTTCGTCCCCGTGAATCCATACACACCTCGTGTGGACAATTTGGATGGTTGGAATCATCCACTTTGCCTTTAATCCATCAATTTAACAGTTTACTACTTACACTTCTTTTAATCTACTCAAGGTCGTCATAGCATTTATCTGACCACAAACAATATTATATGACGTCGCGACCTACAATCTCGAAATTTTTTAACACCGGGATTCGAAACCCCAACATTGATCCAATTTCATCCGATTAGCCTTAAGTTCTGGATAATTTTTACTTTCAAGGACCCTAAATGAAACAAGTAACTCTGGGTGCTTAAATTATCTCATAACCATACAACTTCTTGGGGGAGACATTCGGGTGGTGGGATCCATCCACTTTTCCTTTAAAACTTAAATAGTTTACAACCTTCACCTCCATTTGGTCAGGCGGCACCTCCCGTCAGTCTGGCTTTCATAGTGCGCAGGCGGTACCAAAATTGCCATTTGTGCCGCAACAACAATATTTTATGCAGCCACCTCCATTTGGTGGACCTGCAGCAAAAAACGTCCAACCTATGGACTGGCAGCTACGGCTGCTTAGACTTGGTGAACAGCCGTCGGCCTTCTCCAAGGAAATTACTGAAGCCGCTCAGCCGGCCAAAGTAAAAAATGTTTTAGTAGGCGCCTATGATGGCACTACTAACCCGGAAGACCATCTGATGGCATTCACCAACCTGATGTACCTTCAAGGGTTGGATGATCCCACTTGGTGCAAGTGTTTCCCAGCAACTCTCAAGGGAATTGCACAGCAATGGTTCGGCAACCTGCCGACTGGTTGTGTAAACAGTTTCAGGACGCTTGCTTACTTATTTGCCTCCAACTTTGCAATGAACATCCCTGCGAAGAAAACGACTCTTGATTTGGGAACAATTCAGCAGGGTGAAAAGGAGGGGCTTCGTTCCTACATCAGGCGGTTCAACCTGATGAGAATACAGATTCAAGGGTTACCGGATGAGGTAGCTTATACTGACTTTTTTAGAGGTCTCAAAGACGGGTCTACCTTCAAATTTGATTTAGTTCGAAAAAGGGTGGCGACTCTTCAAGAGGCCTTGATTGAAGCAGAAGCCTATATACAGGCGACTGATCTGTGTACAATGAAACAGTCGGACGGGAAGAGGTTCGACAATAGAGAAGGACGACAGAAACAGTCGTCCAACAAAGATGAAAAAAGAAAAGGGGTCTGGGCGGCTGATTCCTCTAAACAGCCGGCCAAGAAGAAAAAGGAATTCAAACCATACTCCCCAAAGTATGTGTTTAACAAGGATAACCAGTTTATCCTAAAAGAAATAAAGGGACGGCTCTCAATTGAAAAACCGCTCCCCATGAAGGGTTCTGCGAGCAACCGGAACCAAGACAAAATCTGTGCTTATCATGATGACATTGGTCATCACACCAACGACTGCATTAGTCTCATGCGGTACCTAGACCGCTTGGCAGATCAAGGTGATCTTGACACTTATGTCAAGAAATCTACGGGGAATACTTCCTCAAAAAAGCAGTCGGCCAAAAAGAATCAACAGGCCGACAGTTCCGATACAGATGATGCAGTCGTCTACACCATTGCAGGCGGCTTCTCAGGAGGCGGCCCCACTATTAGGGGCAACAAAGATAATATAAGGCGGTTAGATGTAAATTCCGTTCACCAAGAACGACCGTCCAAATATACATTTCCTGAGATTGTCATCACTGAAGAGGATCTAGGAGGAATAAGGGGGCCGCATGACGACCCTCTCGTTATTGAATGTAAAGTGGCCAACCAGAGAGTTGGTCGAATCCTCATAGATACTGGGAGCTCTTCAGATCTCATCAGCAGCAAATGTCTGTCAAAACTGAAATATCAGACGGACTGCATACATCCGGCCTCCCACCCTTTAATAGGGTTTGGAGGAGGAGTCGTCCACCCACTGGGACGAGTTGATCTACCCGTCCGCCTGGGCGAAAAAGGGGAAGGACGACACATGGTAATCCGATTCCTAGTTGTAGAGGAACTCTCTGCCTACAACATGATTCTGGGTCGCCCAACCCTGAATAGTGCCAAGGCTGTTATAATCCCGTCACTTATGCTGCTTAAGTTTGAAAGGGACAATGGAACAGTCGGCTCCCTAAGGGGAGATCAGAGGATGGCCCGAGAGTGCTATCTCTCGGATGTCAAACCCACTGCTAAGGCCACTGGGTCAAGTGGAGAAAAAACAGACCTTGACAATGTCAAGGAAAGTGCGCCTGTTCAAGAAACAGGCGACAGAAAAAGAAAGGCGTCCCAAACAGAGTCCGCCAGAAAGGCAAGAAAATAGCAATCATTGGCAGAGGACCGGCCGGATGAGTTCCGCCCTCAGCCGGCTGGTGAGCATACGGATCTGATATTAGACGACTCCCGCCCTGACCGAACAGTCAAAGTTGGGACGACTGCTCTGAGAAACCTTGGTGATGACTTTCACAACCTGTTGAAAGAATACAAGGACATCTTTGCATTTGAAGTCCATGAAATGCCAGGCGTTAGTCCTGATCTGGCAGTACACAAACTCGCTGTGGATCCAAAAAAGAAGCCGGTACGGCAAAAGAAGCGGAACCATGGTGAAGAAAGAGGTCAGGCGGCCGCCGCCGAAGTCAAAAAATTACTTGATGCAGGGTTCATTCGGCAATGTTACTTCCCAGATTGGGTTGCAAATGTGGTACTTGTTAAAAAGCCGAATGGCACCTGGCGAATGTGTGTAGACTACACAGACTTGAACAAGGCGTGCCCCAAAGACAGTTACCCTCTGCCCAAAATTGATAACCTGGTCGACTCAACAGCCGGCCATGCCTTGATGAGTTTTATGGACGCCTATTCTGGTTTTCATCAAATTCCTTTGTGGGAGAAAGATCAGGAGAAGACGGCCTTCGTCACTGATCAGGGATTATACTGTTATACGGTCATGCCGTTTGGTCTTAAGAATGCCCCGGCTACATTCCAACGAATGATAAACACAGTGTTCTTTGATCAGATTGGGAGAAACGTCGAGGCATACATTGATGATATGATTGTTAAGACTAAACTTCAGAAAGATCATCTGACGGACCTCCGAGAAACTTTCGCCACACTCAGGCGGCACCATGTCATGCTCAATCCCAAGAAATGTGTATTTGGAGTTGAGTCTGGGAAATTTCTCGGATTCCTTATCAACCAGAGAGGAATAGAGGCGAACCCTGAGAAGGTACAGGCGGTCATTGACATGCAGTCGCCTCGTACCGTCCGAGAGGTTCAGAAGTTAACAGGTTGTCTGGCGGCCTTGGGAAGATTTCTAAGCCGATCAGGCGACAAATGCCTATACTTTTTCCAGGCAATTAAGAAAAAGGCAAGGTTTGAATGGGGGCCGGATGCTGAGGCCGCCTTCCAGAAATTAAAGGTTCACTTGCATTCCTTGCCAAGGCTGGTCAGCCCTTTGCCCAAAGAAAATCTCTACATGTACCTGGCCGTCTCTGATCATGCGTTAAGCGCGGTGCTCCTTGCTGAAAGGGACGGCTGTCAACTTCCGGTCTACTTTGTCAGTCACGTACTGAAAAATGCCGAGTTGAGGTATCCCCTAGTGGAGAAATTTGGTCTTGCACTCTTCATGGCTGTTAAAAAATTGAAGCCCTACTTTCTGGCACATGCAGTCGTCGTGTATACCGACCAACCGATCAAACGGCCCCTTACCACCATGGAGTCCTCCGGACGAATGATCAAATGGGCCATAGAAATGCAGAGTCTCGAAGTTACTTTCGAGCCTAGAAAAGCAGTGAAGGGGCAAGCCTTTGCTGACTTTATTGTAGAGATGACTCGTCCTCCTGACTCTCAAGTTCCAGACCAAGTCTGGAAGGTATATGTGGACGGAAGCTCTACTTCAAACGGTTGTGGAGCAGGCGTCGTATGTCAATCTCCAGAGGGCGACAGGTTCGAGTATGCTCTACGCTTCAGTTTCCAGGCTTCAAACAATGAGGCAGAATATGAAGCTTTACTAGCCGGGATCCGCATGTGTAAGGCGGCCGGGGCAAGGAAAATAGACGCCTGTTCTGATTCACAACTGATAGTGAGTCAGTACAATGGCGAATACGAAGCAACACATCCGGCCATGATCAAATATTTACAGGCGGTCCGACAAGCAGTCGGCTCCCTTGAGGATTTCCATCTGATCCAAGTACCGAGATCAGAAAACAACCAGGC